GGTAGCTGAAGTTTGGATTATTTCAATTTTCAGCGTCCGCTGAAACGGCGTCCTAGCTAAATTTATGTTCGCCGGCGATTGTGAGCTTGGCAAAGATGAGACTGGAGAGCCAGTTTCTTAAGCTTATTCTTGACCTTAATACCACGGACAGAGCCGCGTACGTTGGCCGCATCAGCTGTTATTTTTACTCTACAGCTGTCCTTACTCTGCTGTTATTGAGTAGGAATTAGGCCAGTGTGATAATTGCGATTTCGGCGTTAGTGATTCCCACGTTAACCCTTGTTTCCTGTTCAACGCTGGTTTTTCTTTTTGCGTCAAAAAGCAGTAGAAATAGCTACGTAATTTAAAGCAGCTTATTTAAAGTGGCCTGCGGCAGAGGTGTATATATACGACTGATTACTTGCCCGTCGACTAAGAATTATTCGCATTGCTGAAAACGGTGGAATTAGGCTGCTTTTTCCAACATCGACTAGAAATTGGGTACTGTTAACTTGTTTTCTAATGAGGATTAGGCGACGTGGTGTTTTGCTAACATTGTTAGTCGCCGTTACGGGCAGACCAAATGGTTCGTTGCGTTGCGGCAAAAAATTGATTGTGTCGATTGCACTTACAGACTTTGTTACCAAAACGCAAATGATAAAATTATTTGTCACTAGCTTTAGGTATCGGGCCAAGTGACTATGGTTTAGATCGGCTGCAGTGTCGGCGGTCTAGAAATAGCTTTTTGTATTGAAGCTAGAGCAACTCAACTTGTGGTTATACAGAAACCATTTTCTACTGCTTACCAGGCGCGAGGGTTGCGGGGATTGCGGCCGTACTAAGACCAGTAGCTGGTTTAAAATTACTGCTTAGTTGGTGCCGCTACATGTTGCAGCCTGTTGAGTCTGCCACCTTTGTGAGCAGCAGGGCGTTTGCTACTCACTAAAAAGCTGCATAGATTGTGGTAGAAGTTGTATCCGTAACGATCGCAAAAACAATAATTATAGGTTATACGTGTCAAGAAGTCGTTGCGTTTCTTACAAAAGACCCCTGGGTCTTCTATCTTTTAGTCGCAGGTCTTTAAATTGTTGCTGCAAATAAACCTTGTTTGACAGTATTTCTCTGTATAACAGCCCGCCTAAGGCTCTCGTATTTTAATTCAGCGGAAGGTCAAGATGTTATGTCTCACATGTGTGATACTATACCTTGCAAATTCGCGAAATGAACTGAAGGCAGTAAGCACAATCAAAGAAAGCTACACGATTGTAAGAAGTAGGTTATTTTTGCGCAGCACATAACAGCGAATCATCTTAGTTAACGTTTGCGTTGGCTTGCGTTGTTGAATTGTCAGTATGGTGGCTAGTTACTAATCTGGAAGATTCATTACATGATTGAAGGACAATATCGGTGGGCGAGATAACAGAGTGCTTACAATTAATTAAGTACAAATTTACGGGAACAAGATCACCAAAATAGAAATTCATCATATGCATTTGCGTATTCCATGCAAAGGTCACCAGCTGTTGGAAAAGCATTAGATGTTAGTGGGTAGAGAAGAGACATAAGAGACATGCCAATAACGGAACAGTATGTAAAACAATGGCAATGGAACTAGGCAGCAATGAAGCAGGTGAAACGTATCAAACGACTCTTGGAGCAGGAAGATCTAAGGTTAACACATTAAATATCTAGCGAGAAGGTACAAACACCAATATACTCTAGTTTTATAAAATACAGAATGAGTAAATGTTGTTGGTTCATTACGGTTGTCAAGCCCATTCTGAGTATGCCGTAGTTGTTACTATGAGCATGTTTACATAATTGCTTGTGACATATTTGCACTACAGTTTGGAATTACCACAAAGGCGAAAGTGTTTGGTGCGTTTAGGTAAGTCACGTGGAAATTACCTTGTCTGGAGGAGCCGTCAGCAACAAAGCCTACGTTGGATAGGTTCAGCACGTGCGCACACTATTCAGGTACCTACTGTACAGCATTGAACTAGTACCAAAAGTGACGGTACTCTTAAGTATGTTGGACAAACCTAATAAAAGCCGTTGTACGCAAGCCACCGAACATTGCCATAGGTTCTACCTGTTAATAGAACGCTCGCCTTAATGTTGCACCAAACTGGTAACAGTATACGAATGAATTGGAATTTCTAATATGTTTATTATATAGTCACCATATATGCAAAATATGTACACATAACTGACGGTGTTTTTGACAAACCTGCGCAAGAAATTCGTTTGCGTGCGCAGGTCGAACGCATTTTAGTGAAATACATAGGCAAGTACGACCCTGTATTACTGAGCGTCATACTTTTCTCTGGTTTAAAATACCCACGTCTTTTAATGCATGTAATTATATCTGCTTTACTCTTGATCTATACTAATGCAGCTCGTTCATGTTATTAGCACCTACCTTGTTGTCAAAATTAGTCATGTAGCCATTTGTTTTATGAATTTGCCATTAGTGTAGCCAATCTACTCGCTAATTCAGCACGGTCATTTGGCACTGGAACTGGTGTCAACAGATACCTGGTCGACAGTAGTTGTACGAGAGCAAGGGTTTGGGCGGGCTTTGTAAAGATTTGTTAAAGAATTCTCCGCGTCTGGGTTGGCATGTAAATATATATGTCTTGACTGACGTGGACTGTTTTGGTGACATTGCCGTGTTTGGTGAAAACCTGTAGAGTATGCACATTATTCTAAACCGCTTAGCAATTTAATATCTAAATTATAACATTTCCTTTAGTGCCACGAATGGCGTAAGTGTATTGCAGTACTGACATTCATTTGCCTCAGTGCTGACTATAAAATACGGATCCTGAACAAATAAATAGCTTGTCTACCTCGGCAGGGTGTTCCCGCTGATGGTACTATTAGAAGAAAGCTGCCATATTACCACAGCCCAACCAGCATTCACCCACGTGAGGTAGCTACGGCGTATTATTGTGATACTGTTGCAGGGGAATGAAACCTGGTCGATCCAAATAAGTCCGTCGCGTAATCTGCGGAGGACAAATCGTGATGGCGTTAACTTCATGTTTGAAATGTCAGTGTTAGACGTTATACCTCGGGCAGTACGGACCTCCTTCTCGACATCCTGTTACCGCTACGCTAACTGTGATTGCCGGCCCACGTCCTAAGCATGTCGTACGATCTCTTACCACCGCTCGCTCTGTCTGTGCGCACAGATCCGCACAAGAAAAATCATGCCATGATTAGGCGATAAATGTTCCAGCACAGACTTCTAGTTTGGCTGTGGTGAGTCATATTTTTTCGAGTTGGGGAGCCAAGGATGAATAATTCCGCTAGCTAGAAATTCTCGAAGAACTATCATTCGCTGATTTAACTGAACGGAAAACAATATCACAATAACGCTACTATAGTTTACAATTTTTGCAATACCTTAAGCTGTTTGTACAGACAATGCATCTTGTTTGGCAGTAAGGACTGAAAGCTTGTTGCATTGCAGTGGCTTATAACACGCGCGCACAGCCCCATATAATTAGGCCACAAATGGATTATGCAAAATGGATGTGTAGACCCTAAAAAGGCCTGTTAAGCGGATGTCGGGAACGTTTCAAACTCAACTAAATTTATTACGTTTTTGTCTACAGAATAACAGCATCAGAACGCACAGGTAAATACATGCCTAACTGATGTTCGGTATGAGTTGTACTAGAATAATCCTATTACTTCCTGATAACCAGCTTAAATAGAAGCGAAACTAATCAAGAGAGTAAAGGAGTACGAAACGATGTGCGCACCTCAAAAAAGCGTTTATTTACAGGCTCCTTTGTTTTGGTTATTGTATCTATTAAGCACCTCTATTCCATGGATTTTGGTTGATCTATGCCCATTGTATCGAAAATTGCTATAGTTGGCGGCATTTGGATCCAGATTTACTTGTCATTGCCGCCTCGGTAGTACAGCCACCGGAAGCCTGCGCCGACACGGAAACCATGGGTGGCTTGCGCTGCACCACCCACAGGTCTAGTTACACACCCATATACAGTTTACACCCGAAGTAATAAGAACAGGATGTATTTGAATAAGAGCCACGTTTCATCAACGGAGCCGTTACACTACTTCAACCTGCACAGCAGCAGAATGCCTTTCCATCCAAGTAGGGAATCATGCGTACCAGACCTACACATTGCTGTGGTTGGGCCTTTAGAGGGTTGCCTATTCCGGGAGCCCAGAGAGCGATTCCAGAAGACGGATCGAGTTGCAGGGAAACTTTTATTGGTTCAGCAAAAGATTCCCTGTTAGCTAGCTATAAATGAACGACACCGTGGACGCTCTAGCTAGGGGAACAGATCAAGCACAGCACACAGAGCAGTCGCGCGTTGCAACCGAAGCGAGCGCCAAGCAAAAATGGCGATGAGCAAGTAAAGCATTCGAACTCAGCAAGCAGTTCAACAAACCACACCGGTTGCCTAAGTGTACAATTAAAGAATTTTGGTTAGAATTTTACACAAGCAAACCGGGGAATCTCCAGACTGCTACATAGCCCTCTCCCAGAAGGGACTGTGTAAGCAGTCCTTCGATCTACGTGAGGACTGTCCGTCGCGGGCCAGCCTTCTGCGAGACCAGGTTGTGAAACCCGATGCAGCTGCTGGGGGAGAACCATGCAATCGGACCCTAGCGGGCTCCCACCCGTGTCCTCCCTACGGTGTCGAAACGGTAAAAAAACTGTTTGTAGGGGGGGGACAGTTAATAAAGTTCACGTAGGCAGTTGAGCAGGAAGATTGTTGAACTTCCAGTTGACGTGCGGAGATCCAGCGGAAAGTGAAACCGAGGTGCAACCAACCGACGGTGTATATGGAAAGCAAAATGAAAAAGCAGCATAAATGCATAGCCATACACAAAAGAGTGTTAAGCGAAAAACGTGCAAAGCTGTTTTTGGGTTTTCAAAAAGTTTTGCTCTTTTTTGGTAGTTTCAAAACGTTTTGGTCTTTTTTTGTGGATTTTCAAAAACGTTTAGTAAGAGCGGAAAATTTTAAAGGCACGTTCTATGTAAAATAGTAAGTGCGAACGAAGTCCGAAAAACGAACCTTAGGTTTGAGCTTCCTACCGCGTCGATTGAGAGTAGGGGTGCTGTCGGTTGGGGTTGTCGGATCTGCTGGACCGGACTGACTCGTCTGAGGTTGCGGTGCCAGCTGTGATGGCACAGGCTGTGAAGGTGCTTGTTGCACCGGCGAGTCAGACTTGTCGAAGAATGCTGGCTTGAGTCGATCAATGGTGATCGTCTCAGTGGTGTTGCGTCGTGGCTTGCTTATGTCGGGATCAGCTTGTTGGGCAGCAGCCATGGCGGCTAGATCAATGTTTGTGCCAGGCGATAAGCTGATCTGCTGAATGCGTGAAAGCGCATCCGCGACGGGATTGAGAGCACCTGAGACATGACGTACGTCTGTCGTAAACTGAGAAACGTAGTCTAGGTGTCTAGTTTCCCGCGGCGAGTACTTGTCCGTTGCGCCATTGATTGCGTAGATCAATGGCTTGTGGTCGGTGAAGACAGTGAAATGTCGACCTTCGAGATAATGACGGAAATGTCGGATACCTAGGTAGATAGCTAACAGTTCCCTACCGAAGGTGCTGTAACGCGATTCGGCAGGTTGTAGACGTTTCGAGAAGAAACCTAGAGGTATCCATCGATGGTCGATGAGTTGCTGAAGAACTGCACCGACGGCAGTGTCTGATGCGTCAGTTGTCAGAGAGAGTGATGCAGACGTGTCTGGATGGGCGAGAAGCGCTATGTTGGAGATAGCGTCTTTAAGCTTCTCGAAAGACAATTTAGCGTCGTCTGTAAAATGAAAAGACCGTTGTTTACTGCGGAGCAAGTCAGTCATTGGTTGAACAATGCTCGCGCAGTTAGGTATAAAGCGTCTGTAATAGTTGACCAGGCCAAGGAATCGGCGTAACTGCTTGAAGGAACTGGGAGCAGGATAGTCCTTCAGTGCCTGAATTTTGTCTGGCAGGGCTTCGATACCAGATGCAGATATGCGGTGGCCAAGAAAGTCGATGGAGCTTTGGCCAAGCTCGCATTTATCGGGGTTGACGGTAACCCCATGCTGTGTTAAGCGCTGGAAGAGAGCGTCGAGGTGACGAAGATGCTCCTCGTCAGAAGAGCTGGCGATGAGTATGTCATCTAAATAAGGGTAAACGCCTTCGAGTCCTCGCGTTACCTCATGAATGAAACGCTGAAAAGTTTGAGCAGCGTTGCTGAGGCCGAAAGGCATTCTGAGGTACTCGAATAGGCCGAATGGCGTGATTACTGCGGTTTTAGCAATGTCATCTGGCGCCACAGGTATCTGATGGTAGGCGCGAACTAAGTCGACTTTGCTGAAGATAGACTTGCCAGCTAGAGCTGAGGTCAAGTCGTGCATGTGCGGGATAGGGTATTTATCCGGGACGGTAACTTTGTTAAGTGCCCTGTAGTCACCACAAGGGCGCCAGTCACCGGATTTCTTAGGCACCATGTGTAATGGTGATGCCCATGGACTTTTGGACGGGCGGATGATTCCCAGTTCGAGCATTTGCTCGAATTCCGCCTTAGCAGCTTTGAGCTTGTCCGGGGCTAGTCGGCGAGGACGGGCCGAAACAGGTGGGCCCTTAGTGCAAATGTGATGCATGACGTTCGACGTCACAGGAGGCAAGTCGTTCAGGACGCGAACGAGGTTAGAGTGCTTAGTGAAAAGTTCTAGAAAAGGCTGTGAAGCTTGAGGTAGGACACGAATGGGAGTGATAGCAGCCACGTTGGCGCTAGTCCCGATAACACTGAGCTGTGTCCTAGAATCGATAAGCTTCTTCCGTTTAGCGTCGACGATGAGGTCGAAGCGTTGAAGAAAGTCTATGCCTATGATGGCGAAAGGCACAGCAGCGATTATGAAAGGCCAGCGAAAGGTTCGCCGGAGGCCTAAATTGAGCGTTAACAGCTTTTCGCCGAAAGTTGCGATTGGTGTGCCATTGGCGGCACGCAGCTTGGTCGGCGATGGCGAGACGACCTCATCTGAGCTACGGGGTATGACGCTAACTTCGGCACCAGTGTCGACTAGAAACTCGATGCCGGAAGTTAAATCCCTAACACGGATGAGGCGACTTTGGTGTTGGCCGGTCGCGTCCGTCGCCGTTACCGACCGGCCGAGCAGTTTCCCTGCTGCTCGGCGTAGTTGCAAGGCTTGACGCATTTACGAGCTGCGGTACCAAAACGCTGGTGGTACCAACAGCTAGCCTGCCTGTTTCTAGACTTAGAACGTTTGCAGGGCGATTTTGAGCGGCTATGACGACGACGGTCCATAGTAAGCTGCTGGACCTGGCGACTAAGTGTCGCGACTTGTGTTTGCAGGGCTTCTATAGTTGACAGTAAGCCAGTGATAGAAGTGCCCTGGGACGCGACGGCATTCATCTTGCTGGCGTTGGCTTGTGGCTGTGCTCGTTCAATAACTCGATCGGCTAAGTCTGCTAGTTGAGTGAGCGAAACGGAGCTCACTGTAGCGAGAATCGCTTGCGTGTTTTCCGGTAGCCGCTGTAGCCATAGTTCGCGAAGTAAAGTCTTATCCATGGTTGAGGAACCAAGGAGTTGCTGCATCTCCCGTAGCAGGGTTGAGGGCAGTTTGTCGCCCAATTGCAGATCCCTGAAAAGCTGCTGCAGGCGAACTTTCTCAGAGGGCATAACACGCTTAATCGTGGCTTCCTTGAGAGCCTCATAGCGGGTTTCGGTCTGAGAAATGATGACGTCACGAACCTGCGTTGATATCTCCTTGGGGAGATAGGACAGGAGCTTGCAATACTTCGCGTAGTCGGAAGTGATTTTGTGGTTATAGAACTCGGCCTCAAGAAGAGCGAACCACAAAACAGGATCCATATCCCAAAAAGGTGGAACTGAGAGAGATACAACACTAAGCATAGACTCTACCTTATGGTCTACAGATTCCATGATTTGAAAAAATGACGCGAAAAATAGGCTATCGTATGCAAAAATAAACGGGAAAATATGAAAAATAAATGGAACGAGCTCACCGGAGAAAAGTTCGAAATATCCGGCGTTGAGATTGTTCCGGATCCGGGGTCACCAATTTAGAGGGTTGCCTATTCCGGGAGCCCAGAGAGCGATTCCAGAAGACGGATCGAGTTGCAGGGAAACTTTTATTGGTTCAGCAAAAGATTCCCTGTTAGCTAGCTATAAATGAACGACACCGTGGACGCTCTAGCTAGGGGAACAGATCAAGCACAGCACACAGAGCAGTCGCGCGTTGCAACCGAAGCGAGCGCCAAGCAAAAATGGCGATGAGCAAGTAAAGCATTCGAACTCAGCAAGCAGTTCAACAAACCACACCGGTTGCCTAAGTGTACAATTAAAGAATTTTGGTTAGAATTTTACACAAGCAAACCGGGGAATCTCCAGACTGCTACAGGCCGTAGTCCTCTCCACAATGAATACATGGAACTACCCTTTGAGCCGAGCACGGTTACGAGGCCTGTGTAAAATGCAAATTTTCTTGGAGTCAGTATAACTCAGGTGGCTGTTTTTCGGCAGATAGGCACATTAGCATCATTCACAGCAAGCGCAGTGGCACTCGGAATAAGAATTAATAACGAACACACGAAAGTTAAGAAAGAAAAATACTGTGCAAAATTACAGACTAACTGCAATGTTGGTCTAACACACGTGCCACTACATCGACATTATTGGCGTGGGTTTCTAAAAGGCATCGCAAATTGCTTAGTTACTGTGTGTTATGTTGATTCTAACTTATACTACCTACATTAAGTTGTGATATATGGTTGGCAGCATCCGGTTTCGGATTTGCCTGTCACTCTAGTTAGCCACAGGATCATGAATGGCTTGCGCTGCACTACCCACAGCTCCAAACACTCACTACATATCCGGTGTATACCCGAAGGAATAAGACCGGGAGTCATGTGGATGGGAGACATGATTAATCAACGGAGCCGACCCACACTCCTCCACAGACAAACACAAGCACGCTGTATGTGGGGAGTCATTCGCAATCAAGGCGGTGTATGGACTGTAGTCGCCTCTACACTGAGTGCGTGGAACCACGCATTGAGCCTTACACGGCCACAAGGACCGTGCACCCCGCCCTATCCAGCAACGACCAACTACATTCTAGAGCAAAGTATGGACGGGGTAGTGAGTAATAGACAGGTAGGCACCTTGCCAACATGCACATCAAGGCCAGCCACACTGTGGCTGTCAAGCAGCAGCCAATCAAATGGAATAAAATGTCGAATATAACAGCTCGGAGTAGGGATATATATGAATATATATATATACATATATATATATATATATATTCGTGTGGTTGCATGGATTATGCAACCGATAACAAGTGCAGGACTAGTTAATACTAGTCCGAGACGGTGCGCGAAATTAAGCGCGGATATCAGAAGGCAGTTGGAGTCGGACACAGCGGACTGTATTCGATGAGCCACAATAAGAAGCGGAGGAATGAAACGAGACGAGAGCGAAAACGTGAGCGCGGGAACTTACAAGGTGGTCTAGTGACGAGCCGGTTGTAAGGAAGATAAAAACAAGAAGGCGTAATGTACAATCGGTCAACAATTAAATTGTACATGAAAGATAAGAGTTATCTTTTTGGGCGCTACAGAGCTCCCCCATAGAAGGCTGCATAACGAAAACCTTCGAAATCGAAGAGGAATGTTGAAAAAAGGTACGTAAGGCAAAATCGTGCCAGGTAAAATTGAGCGTGCGTTCGTGTAAATGGGGGTTCGTCGGAAGTCGGAGTCCGCTGTGCCGTTTATGATTTGTTATTTATTGATAGCAGGGCAGGGTGCATTTCGGCGGGCCGTTGGAGCGAGCTTGTCAGACTACAAAAACTGACTAGCTTAAAAATGGCCGACATGACCTCAACCTCCGCTACTGCCAAACGGTGCGCTTGGGAGTGGTCTCTCCCCCCGCCTCACCACGCTCCGCGGCAAAACGAGCCTCGTCCTACGAAGAAACGACCATGGTCCCACGGAGCAGTGACCCACGTCCCGCGAAGAAGCGACCTCCGTTCCGCGGAGTAACGACCAGCGTTCCCGTCAGGGTCCTCGAAGACACACCTCGTGTGGGCCAGTCGATCGAAGGGGAGGATTTGGGGCATGCAGAGAACAGAACAGAAAAACACGTGCAGAAATCGCCAAAAAGAACAAACGAATGATCTGCGTGTTTAAAGTTTTTGGTTAGTGGAATATACTTTTCGAAAATGGTTTGTTGGACGTTTTGATATTTTTACTGTTTATCAACCGTTAATCGACCAAAAATGTGGCAAATATATACAATATCTACAAAGCTAAAGATATTTACACTGTACATAGTCGGAGAAGCGAACGGGCTTACGCACCTCCCGACCACGGCGCTTAGTCGTGGGAAAAGGCGGGCCAGATTCGGGAGATGATGGGATGACTTGTAGACCGAGATCCTGGTCCGATTGAACTGCACTAGAATGCTGTAAGCTGGTGCGGTGAGTTGTGATGTCGCAAGAAGCACTACTAGACGAAGTAGGCGAGGCGCTCTCTTCCATAAAAGCGGGTTTTAGACGGTCGATGGTGACAACTTCGCATCGACCACCGCGGTCAGTAGTGTAGGCCTTACTCGCACGATGTAGCATCTATAAGGGTTCTATGTACGGCGACTGAAGAGGCTGACGAACACTCTCTGCGCGAAGAAGGACGTGTGAACAAGTAGACAGCTTCTCGGGCACGTACACTGGTGTCTTCTGCGATCGTGGAACGGGTGGACGTAACTCACGCATCTGGTGAGCCAATCGATCAGTGTAACTTCCGTAGTCAAAAGTGGAAGTACATGGGGCTGGTGCTACCAGCTGTCCGGGCAACCGCAGCGTGCAACCGTAGACTAGCTGCGCTGCTGTGGCGTCGAAGTCAGTCTTAACCGTGTTTCTTAAGCCTAGGAGAACGAGGGGAAGCGTTTCAGACCATGAAGGATCTGCGTGCGCACGTAGCGCTGCCTTCAACTGGCGGTGGCAACGCTCCACCATGCCGTTAGCGGCCGGATAATACGCCGTCGTCTGGACGTGGCGACAGCCCAAATCCTTAAGCAACGTAGCAAAGGTCGACGAGAAATGTGACCCTCGATCGGTGGTCACCAAGGCGGGACAGCCGTATTGAGCTACCCAGTGCTCCATAAAAGCTTTCGCTACCGTTTTCGAGGAGCAATTTGGGATAGAGACGGCCTCAGGCTATCTAGTAAATCAATCGGTGCCGGTTAGCAGATATACAGAGCCTTTACAAGACGGTAGGGGACCTACGAGGTCGACATGCACGTGATGAAGACGTGCGTCTGGCGTCGGAAAAGTGCCTAGTGGGCTTCTCGTGTGCTTGTGTACCTTCGCGCGTTGACACGGAAGGCAAGCAGCTGCCCAAGTACGGACGTCCCGATTAACATTGCGCCAAACGAATCGTGCGGTAACGAGTTTAACCGATGCACGAACGCCTGGATGAGACAAGCCGTGCAACATGTCGAACACGGTCTGCCGAAACTCACGTGGAACGACTGGGCGCGGCGTGCCCAGAGATAGATCGCAGAGTATGGTGCCGTCTGATGATGTCAGCGGAACGGGTCGTATGTCCAATGAGGGAGACCTGCGTAGTAGAGCAAACTCAGGGTCGTTAAGTTGCGCTGTGGCCATGGCTGCCAAGTCGATAGCAGTTCCGGCGTCAGCGGTGATAGCTTGGATGCGAGAAAGTGCATCGGCGACGGCGTTGTGCACACCTGAGACATGCCGTATATCGGTCGTAAACTGAGCGATATAGTCAAGGTGGCGCGACTCTCTAGGAGAATATCGGTCGGTAGTCGAGCCGAGCACGTAAGTCAGGGGTTTGTGGTCGGTGAAGACGACAAAGGAGCGGCCTTCTAGGACGTGTCAAAAGTGACGTAGCGCTAGATACACGGCTAGTAGTTCTCTACCGAACGTGCTGTAGCGAGATTCGGTAGGTTTTAGGCGTTTGCAGAAAAACGCTAAGGGCTGCCACGTGTTGGCTACTCGTTGCTGCAAAACAGCGCCGACTGCCACGTCCAAGGCGTCAGTACTGAGGGACAGTGGGGCGGCCAGATCGTAGGGCGCTATAGAAGCTATGTTGGCGATAGCCACTTTCAGCCACTTGAATGCGGCGCAGGCTGCGGCAGAAAATTCGAATATCTTGAGTTTCCCTCGGAGAAAGTCCGTGAGGGGTTGCATCAGCGAGGCACAGTTGGGGATAACTCGTCGGTAAAAGTTGACAAGCCCATCAAAATGCCTGAGCTGTTTACAGGAATAAGGCTCGGAGTAGTCGATGATGGCTTGAATTTTATTCTTCAATGGCACGACGCCTGCAGAGGAAATACGATGGCCGAGGAAGTTGACTGAATCGACACCAAACGAACACTTTTCTGCGTTGATCGTCACCCCGTGTTGAGATAAACGATCATGTGCTCTTCTCGTGAAGAGCTTGCGATTAATATGTCATCCAGATACGCGTAAACGAAGTCTGAGCCGCGACAAACTTGGTCGATGAAACGCTGAAAAGTTTGCGCGGCGTTCTTTAGACCAAATGGCATGCGCAGAAACTCGAACAAATCAAATGGAGTCGTCACGGCCGTCTTAGTGATGTCCGCCTCGGCTACCGGAATTTGGTTGTATGCGCGTACCAAGTCGATTTTGCTGAAGATATTTTTACGCGCCAGACTGGCGGTGAGATCCACTATGTGTGGGATCGGGTAGTGATCCGGCGTGGTAACTGTATTCAAGAATCGGTAGTCGCCGCATGGACGCCAGTCCCCCATGACCTCCTTCGGGACCATGTGCAGAGGCGACGCCCATGGGCTGTTGGACGGTCTGACGATACCGAGCTGAAGCATGTGGTCGAATTCAGCTCGTGCTGCGCGTAGTTTGTCAGGAGTAAGCCGTCTTG